AGAAGGGCGGGGCGGGGAGGGGGCGCTGGAGTGGGGAGAGCGGCCAGCTGGGGAGCCCTCCCAGCCCCTGTGTAAACTCCTCTTTCCCTACAATAAAAAACGGATTAAAACTGCTGGAATGTAGCCACTGCCTAGAGACCCTAGCAGCCGGAGAAGGGGTGTTAAATCAAGTCTTCGTCGTTAGTTAGCACGCTTGGGGGCGGGCGGGGGCTTTCTTTTACGTTCCACCACGTCTTTTTGTGGCTTTGTGCTGACAAAAACTCACACCCAAACAAACTTATTAAAAGAACAGAGCAAGACAAATACCACCCTACAAATAAGCATCAAAAAGCAATCGCTGAGACTGTTATAACCAGCAACAACCACCGGGCCCCCTTCTTCCCCATCCACTCACAGGCACCCGCCAACCACCCCTCACTCCCCCGCATCTTCTGCCACTGGCACCGAAAATATAAAAATGAAATGAACGAAAAAGAAACAAGAATGCTATTGCCTTCCCAGGGAACGCCTCCCGCGTTGGTAATCCCCGACTGGGAGGCATCACAAAGCGGTGCCCAGGTGAAGGCGAGACACCTGGGAGAGCCGGGTGCAGACCCTCGGGGACCAGGGTTGGAGTTGTTTTCTTCGAGATGTTTCCCCTCCTGACAACCTGCTGGGTTGCGTCAGAACGTGGAGGATTGTCCTCTGAGGACGCGCGAGGAAACTGGAAGTCTTAAAATAGCAGATAAAGTTAATACTGACTGTAATGTGCACAAATTGGATTATAATCTTTAGGCGTATTGGTGACAGCCAACGTAATCCCATCTCTGGGTATTAATCCGGTTAGCTTCCCTGTGACAACCAGTCGCAGGAGTGTTCCCTGAGACGCGCGCCTGCGACGTTCCCACTCGGGCTGCGTTCGGTTTCGGTGGCCGCGGATAGAACAGCGCAGCCACGCGTGGGGCGGGGTGCGTAGTACTGACTCGCCTCCTTTAGCAACGCAGACAACCTTTACAAAGGAAGCGGATAAGATCTAGAAGATTGATTTGAAAGTGAAAGACGGGTGTAACTTAGGTTCGTTAAACAAATAAAGAGCCTTGCGTCTTCCTAGCCCTGATTCCTTTTTTGCCGTCTTTATCTTCTTGCTTTTCTCCTCCTTTCCCCTCGCCTCCCAATTTCTTCCTAAATCTTTTCTTTGGCTTCATTCTCTTCTCCCTGCCTTCCTTCTGCACTTGCCCCTGTTCTTCACTCTGGCTGGACTTGGGGTTTTTTTTGGTTTTTGTTTTTGTTTTGTTTTTGCTTTCTTTTCATTTCTTTCTTAAAACCACGAAAGCAAATTGTCTTAGTCCTTGGATTAAAGGGAAAGGGATAGAGGGAAGGAGGTTACCTGGGGCATCCGGGATCTTCGTTGTTAATTTTCAATTCTCTCAGCTGCTAACAGAAACATACGCGAATCAGATCCGAACACTTCGGGTCAACTTTAATTTCAATCCAAGCCTCCAACTTTTAAAACTGGACACTCCGCTCTCCCCCACTTACAAGAAAACTTCTTTGTCTTTGAGGACCCCAGTTTCTCCTGTCTTTTTGTTGGATTTAGCACAGAGTGGAGAGAACGACTGAGAGGAGAAACATTTTAATCCAAGTCCAAGGGTTTAAATTTCTCAGCTGACCCACAAGTGCATAGTTGCATATCATCTCGTAGGTATACGTATAGGTGTGTTTTTATGTTTGTATAAGGACTAAGTTCATATGCACATAGACAAGCTGTGTGTTAGGATCTACATGAAGCGTGGACCTACTTGCTATGCATTATTAAATGTTTTATAAAATTAAAACCAAATTGAAGAGAAGTCCTTTGGAATAGATTGGAAACTGATGGTTATCTGGATGTGTCTATAAAGCGGCAACCATTAGGCAGCGAGTGTAACTCGGCCCATAGGTAAAAAACAACAATCCTATTCTTCGTTTGAGTTGACTTCAAGGTTTGGCTTCTTCCAATGTCAGCCGGGCTCTCTTGGGATTCTTGTAATTTGTACTCACGCTGAGGAACTGATGTCTCGATGTGTTTGCTGAATTCAGATTTATACCAGGAGTCACTAAATAAGTCATAGTCAGAGCGAGTCTTTCCCCATTCCCCCTCCTTACTCAAAGAATGCTTTAAAAACCAAATGTAGGGGTAATTATCCTTCTCCAGACCCTAGAAATATAGATTCCGTCAGTAGATGGCGCACAGAGCCCTTCCACGGACGTCCTTACGTGACCCCTTTAGAACAAAAAAATCCAGGAGTGGGAGAAAAGAAAGGAAACACAACCCCGAACACCCTAGATTCAAGTTTTGGGCAAAGGATTCATGCCAGTCTTTCAATTTATTATTTATAGCATTCCAACAAGCTAGCTATTAATTAAAAGCAGTCAAAACAGGAATAACAGCAGTTTAATTTTGTGTTCAGCACATCTAAAGATCTTTGCACTTTAAGTGAGGTACAAATGTGAGAAACAATTTATTTGGGTACTTGACAATGTAATTATAGATAATATTTTGTAAATGAATTTTAAGACAAACTTCTTTCATACTAAATACAAAAAAATAAAACATAAAAACTGGAAGTGATGAGGGATAAAACTATTTATCCAAAAAAGCAATTATCTTACCAAAATTTGTACTGTAGGACTTAGCGTAGTATGAAGCACCATAGCATTAGTTTTGAGGAGCAGAAAAGAAAAGCAATTGACGTTGTCATATCAAATAAGACGCCTGCTGAAGAATAAAAGAGAACAGTGTCTGGGACAAATCTTAAGTCCTGATCACTACCACGGCCGCCACCACCATGACCTTACAACCATCATTTTGGCTGCAGCCCTTTTATTAGCAGTTGTCTTGTTTACTTTGGAAGTTGAGTCCAGTTTGGATGTTTCTAGCACAGCATAACTCCTTTAAAAAATAATTTTGGTGTTAAGGAGCAGCTGGTTTTTCTAAATAAACTGTTATCTATTCATTTGTTGTGATAGATTAGCGATGTATGAACTCAAATAATCAAATCAATAAAACATAACCATTGCCCATGCTTTGCTGTATGGATTTGGGGAGGGAGGAAGAAGATGCATGGGGAAAAAAACATAATGGACAGACATTAACCAGATATGTTGCAAATATTAGACTCAGGATAATTAAGCATTTTTTCCATAATGGTGCACTTTTTCTGTGTACTTCATTCATGTGTACATTCACCAAAACTATATTTCACCCATTCCATGTGCCAGGCACACAGTCAGGCTCTAAGAATATAAGAACGACAGCATTCCTGCTGCCACAGAGGGGAGAAGTTTCACCCAAACCATTTCTTTTTAACTTTATAATACCTAAATTTGGGATAGAGATGTGTGTCACACATAAGCAAGCAGCAAACAAATTTGACGTGAACAGCCCAAGGACAAGAAAAAGAGTAGCACAAAATTAGAAGCCAGGAGTCATTGCCCTCAATTTTATACTACTTAAAATAAAGAGGGAGGGGAGTGATCTCTTTTTTTTTTTTTTTTGCAACAGCAGCAAAGTCCTAATTTCCTTTTCCTTGATCTTGAAATGTTTTTTCTGTTCCTCTTATTGCAGTTCTTTTAAGAAAAAGAAAAAGTCTCACAATGAAAGAAAGCTTACTAAGCCTTTTCAAGATCATGAGCATATTTTCTCAGTTGAGACGGTCCTCCTGTCTTATGAAAATTTTTGGTTCAAAATGTTACATTTTTGACATTATATTTAATTCATGATTCTAGGATCATGTATTAGGAAATCCAGAATAGTACGAATCATTACTACTTTGAAAAACAATTGCTTTGATATCCACTTAAGCACCTAGTCCAGGACTATTTCCAGAGATAAGATATACACAAAGCTTTTTTAAACACCACAGCCTCTTCATGTGTAAATTATTCCTGGAGAGTAATTTAAGCAATGCACTTAGACATTCAGAAGACAAGAGTGCCTCCACCGTAATAATTTATTAATTTAGTGGGCTGTATCCCTAATTTAATAAATAGCACCTTAAGGCCTAAAAATTAATCAAGGATATTATGTAAAACCAACAATATAAGACAAAATAAATATTGGAGGTCAGTTGCTACAGTGTGATTGAAAATGTCTTCCTAATATATACAAGAATCTCAGTGGAATATTTATTTATAGGTAAAATACATATTACATTGAAAC